TCTACCAGATTTCTTTTATACTATTAGCACATGATTTCTTTTGGAACATTAAAACAGTATATCTGTTAGACCATTACCATCAGATCTCTGATATACCATTACCATCAGATCTCTGATATACCATTACCACCAGATCTCTGATATACAATTACTATCAAATCTCTTTTATACCATTACCACCAGATCTCTGATATACCATTACTACCAAATCTCTTTTATACCATTACCACCAGATCTCTGATATACCATTACTACCAAATCTCTTTTATACTAATACCACCAGATCTCTGATATACCATTACTACCAAATCTCTTTTATACCATTACCACCAGATCTCTGATATACCATTACTACCAAATCTCTTTTATACCATTACCACCAGATCTCTGATATACCATTACTACCAAATCTCTTTTATACCATTACCACCAGATCTCTGATATACCATTACTACCAAATCTCTTTTATACTAATACCACCAGATCTCTGATATACCATTACTACCAAATCTCTTTAATACTAATACCACCAGATCTCCTTTAGACCATTACCACCAGATATATCTTATACCATTAACACCAGATTTTCTTTAGTTTTATACCATTAACACAAAATAACTTTTATACCATTTACACAATATCTTTGTTATTCCATTACCACCAGATCCCTTTTATACAAGATCTATTATATACCATTTACACCAGATCTTTTATAAGCTTTTACCATTACAACCAGATCGCTTTTATATCATTGCCAACAGATATTATTGTATACATATACCAGATCTCTTTTATACTATTGTCAACACATGTCTTGTATACCATTACTACCAGGTCCCTTATGTACCATCAATACCAGATCTCTTTTATACCATTAACACCAGATTTCGTTAAGACCATTACCACAATAACTCTTTTATTCCATTACTACCAGACCTCTTTAATATCATTACCACCAGATCTCTTATAAACCATTACTACCAGATCCCTTTTATATCATTGCCAACACATATCGTGTATACTATTTCCATCAGATCTATTTAAACCA